GGGGGGGGGGGGGCATGTGCCACACGCAGGGCACAATTGCTACGCCTGATGAATGCAAGGCTATTCCCAGGCATGCACGTGAACAACCCCAAAATAGTGATCTCTTGGGCAGGTCAGTGCACAGAGATGGTAGCATCTGATACACCAGAATAACAGTAATGAGAGAATAGAGTTTCAGCAGGAAACCAACACAATCCCTCAGCATGGCAACTATCTCTGCGTGCCGCTAACTGTCGCAGACCAGAAATCATGGGCGCAGCTGCACGTGGGGAAGGTGGCACGCCATGGGTAGTGTTAGTATAAACACGAAACGAATAGAATCAATCCCCGTGAGTATTGATGAACCTATGTGACACCGAAAGGTGTGCCGCTGTTCATGCAGGGCTGCCATGTTGTGATTTCTCATGACGTCCACATCATGCCTGGCACATCATCACCACACACAGCCAAGTCGTCATCGTCCAGGACGAGGGAGCAACCGGGTACGGGCCCGCATCGGCCCCCAGCGGCCTTTGCAAATTCGCATCAACTGAAAGCGAACTCACTCGTGCATTTTGGTGCATGCCAACAGCATCGCGCCCGAAACACCACAGTCATTTGCAGGAAGCAGCGCAGGACAACCACAGCGCAAAGGTAAGAAGACATCCATATCACCCCCACACGTCATTAATCTATCCACTGTCAATTATACATTTTTTGTAGAACGAAAAATCATGTTTAAAGGAAAATGCAGGGAACCCACAGCTGACCCAAGGCAGGTGAAACTTTTCACTGGCACCAGAAAGGATAATTCAACCATGTATCCACGGCCTGTTGACCTTCTAGTTGGACTTGACATTGCACAGTTGTGCCAATTGCACCGGGCCACCCCATGGCAATCATGTTCCCATCCGGCTGCCCCACAAAATGATGTACTTCACAAAAAGAGAGAAGGTGCGACGTCACAGCAATTCATCCAAACGAGTGAGGCTTCACTTAGGCCTAGATACAAAAACACGTCATGCCCCCTCTTCGAAGGAGTCTGGAACAGATCAACCTCACGTCATGAACGGCTCATCAACCAGAGGAGAGACGTCCCTAAAGCCCATGAAACTTCCACATCGCGCAACTTTTTCGGAACCCTCAGCATCGCCTTATCTGGCAGCCCAAGGCCAGTTGAGAGAAAGGTGTACAGATACGCTAAGTCCATGCACATGGTTCCCACATTGTGTTCGCTGCCACTGCGGCAAAGCGACATGCCTATTGTTTTGTAGTGTCCAACAGTAACGGTGGCATCCGTAACAAAATGCTGGATACGGTCATAGAAGTAAGAAAAGGCGTATATCAGCGGTGGTGATACGGTCGACGGCAATGGTGATGAAACAAGCGAGCGAACTTCTTCAAACGCTGTCCGCTGCTCTGTCGTGCGCCCCGCAACGAAGGCACGGAAGAGGCGTGCGCACGTGTCGAAGTCCTGTAGGCTGCCATTTACGTTCTGCACGTCAAACGGCGACTCGCCGTCCGCTACTATGGTCTGCCGGTATCCGGCAGGAAAGCACGGAAAAGTCGATCGCCACGACACCGGCAGGTGCCGCTGCATCACAAACAATGTCGCCTGCTTGAGGCCGAAGCCGAGGAAGCTGCAATGATACAGCTCCACTGGGGCTCCGCCAATGTAAATGCTTGCACTCCGATCTGAGTGTGCCACTTCCCGCGAGGAGAGGGGCAACACAATCTGTGCGGAAGCACCGCCCATATCAATCGTAGTGATTCGGGGCAGGGCAGCGTCACCCCGTTCCTGTGCTGGCGGCATCCGCCCGAGAAGGTAGCTGACGCTGAGCCATGCGGCGACACCCTCCTCCTCCCCGCTGATGATCGACACAGGGCCCAATACAAAAGGGTGCTGGCGGAGGTGACTCCGTGCCTCATGCAGCAGCAGCTCCCCCTTGTTAGAGTCGAGCAGCCGCAATCCGGCAGTAGCCTTGAGTGTCACGCGTGTACAGCTGCGGTACTGCGGGGGTACCGTCTGAAGCGCAGTCTCCATCAACGGATGGAGCAGCTCGGCAACACGCCCGGGGTCGTCATTCGCGAGGCTTGAAAGACCGGGGCGCGTGCTGTTGAACGTCTCCCGTTCGAGACGCAGTTGGCGATATTGGAAGATGTGCACACGCGTCCCGGTGCTACCTGCATCCAAAACGACGTCGTAACGCACGCCTGTCTCCTCGTCCCCGCAGGTCTCTTGGCCACGCCGGCCGCCGCTGAAGCACCACGCGACGGCGAAAAAGCAAAGCACGGCGATTATCAAAAGGAGGAGCAGGAAATATTTTCTGCGGCGCACGCGTGTGGCACGTCTAATAACCTGTTGCCGGTACATTTACAGAGATGTCCCTTCCACTTGTAACGGCGCAGCCAAATACACAACGACAGTGAGGGGCACAGCAACCTTATTTTCCCGCCGCCGACAGACACAAGCACACACACGTACGCAAGCACAGAGCAAAAAAGAAAATGAGCGAAGCGGATAAAAAAAAGAAAGAAAAAATAAAATAAAAAAGTGGCAACGACAAAACATATGAGAGAGAGAAGGTTCCGTTGCTCAAAAGACGAAGCCCGCAATATGAAATTCCATGCTGGAGGTATAATTCCATATCTTTTCGTTACCGTACACCTTCTTTCCTCAGTATGTGTATGCGTAACTGCGCATCATCACGAGAATTGGCCACTTTGCGCGAAGAAATTCTTGATGAAAGAGAGCGCTTCGTCAGCGGTATCGGCAAAGCAGAGGGAGGTCACATCTTCCTTAGACACTGTCCCGAACTCCACGAGTGCCTCCCAGTTTACCACCTTCCTCCAAAACTTAGAGCAGAGGAGGACAATGGGAATTTCAGGAATCTTCTTTGTTTGGCGCAGTGTAAGCAGCTCGAACATCTCGTCCAATGTGCCAAACCCACCAGGAGCGATGACAATGGCTCGGCAGGAGTACATCATCCAGAACTTGCGCGTAAAAAAGTAGTGGAATTCAAAGGCAAGGTCGTTGCTGACGTACTGATTGAGACCCTTCTCGAAGGGAAGTGAAATACCCATCCCCATTGTCTTGGTGCCAGGCACAGACGCAGCACCTTTGTTGGCCGCCTCCATGAAACCAGGCCCACCGCCGGTGGTGACGACAAGGTCGTGAAACTCATCATCCATCAGCGTCATGGACGCGTCCTTGTTTAGTTCGCTGAGGTTCGGACGAAAGTAATCTGGCAGGTGCGTGAAAGAGTTGTTCACAAGATACTTCTCCGCGGACGCAAACTCGGCAACCTTACGGGACAGCTCATGCACCACCTCCATCCACTCAGACATCCACTGCGTGCTGCGGAGACGCTGCAGTTCATGCTCGCAGCGCGCCCTCTCTTCGGAGCTTGTGGCTGTCGCGATGGCGGCCTCGTGTTTCTGCACGGTCCGCCTATGCTCCTCCGCCGTCATGGACCGCGCGCTGCCGAACACCAGCACGGTGGAGCGGATGTGGTGACGCCGCAGGCGCCCCGCGGGCTCCTCAAACTCACAGAGGATGCGAATGAGGCGACCCTGACTGCTCCGCAGAAACTTCTGGTTGTTGTACGACTTCACAGTTGGTGTGAATTCACCTCCCTCAACGTCGTCGACCTTCTGCACGTACGGTGCGTCCACCTCCTTTTTTTGGTTTGTTGTCATGGTAATTATGTACTTTGGCAATTCTCTCCCACACAAACGCGCACGGGTGGCAGGAGACAGCAACGCACCGAAACGGCAATGGAAGGGGAAAAAAGCGGAATGCCTGCTGCAAAGAGAGAAGACAGCGACCAATACACATAAGGCGTGCGTCTGCGCACACCCAACACACACACACACACACACACACACACACAAGAAAGAAGAGAAACATATGCCTTCACACCACACAACATGACAGTTGGTGTCGAGTGGCGCGGTGTGTACTCCACTCAACAAACCCCCTCCGCACCCTCTTATCGATTTCGTCTTCATCTTGTATTCGCTTCCATTTTTTTTTTTTTTNTTTTTTTTTTTTTTGTGTGTCCTTGTAAGCGGTCTCCGATTGTTTCCCCACTTTCCACACCCTTTCCCCTTTGCACGTCAGTGCGGAGAGGGTGCGTCATGGAAAGGAGGGAACCAGCTCAGCACAAACGAGACGAGGACGATTCTCTGCTGATGAGAGCTCGAAAGAATGGAAAGAGAACACCGAAAGAAGAGAGTGTAAGAGAGAAAGCAAGAGAAAAGAGAGTGAGCGACGCCGTATGGAGTGGGAGGAGGAAGAGGAGAGTGGCGTGTATGAGTAGGCACAGAGGCATACACACATCACCACACTTCACCCCCCACACACATGGCGGCGCACACGCTGTCGCTATTCCCATTGTCGTCCGCTACACCTAGCCCACCCCGTCCTTTACCCGCTATCCCTCATCGCAGCACCCTTACAGTCACACACACAGACACACGAGCACATATTGCATTCTATACACCACTCTTTCATTCGGTCTAGTTACTCATCCTCTTACCCAGTAGCACTCACAGCGGGTAAACTGCTCGTACCCCACACACCCCATCCCTACCTCGGAAAACGCAGAACTGTTCATCTCCCTGCTTCTAACTCCTCATATTGTAGACAAGCATCACACACGCACGCACTACTACTACTACTCAAAGTGGGTCTTGTGTGTGTATGTGTGTAAAAAAGGCTGTTGTTCCGGCAGACCGTGCTTTTTTTTTTTTTGCTATGACTCGTCGCTTGTTGGCACCAGACATCAAAACTTAAACACCTGCTCTTCTTTATAACCCATATCTTTCAAAACCCCCAGCAACATCCCCTGTTCCGGGGCTTTGCCTGCAGCAAATACCTTGTCACCCGCCAGCTTCTCCAGCATAGGCGGTGGCCCTGCCACAAGGATCTTTGTGTGCTTTTCCCCAGGTTTTGGCATGTAGGTGCGGATCATTGCCTCGTTGATGTACCCGATTCCACCCATCCAACGATGCGGCACTTCAAGGAGGGTAAGGTAGAGGTTGAAGTTACTGTATGTCTTGTACAGTGTCATGAGCTCGTTTGCCAGCAAAATATCGCGACGCTGATTATTTGCGTAAATCAGTGAGACATGTGTCTTGTCCTTTGGGTTCGCTAGAATTTCCTGCAGTAGCTGGTACATGGGCGCTATGCCTGCTCCACCCGCGAGCATGCCTACGCTCTTCCACATGTTTGGCTTGTAGGCGAACCTCTCAAAGGGCCCCTTCACCAGCAGCTCCTCCCCGGGCTGCAGCTGGAATAGGTGAGCACTCATCTTGTCCTTTACGCGCTTTTTGACGATAAGCTCAAAGTGTCCCTTGGTGCTGTTCGCAGTGATGGGTGTGAAGGGGTGCAGCACGTCTTTCCCATCCGCATCCGTCAGCTTCGCGACAATGCAGGACGCGACCGGCATTGCAAATGGCGTCTCCGCGCTGGCGAGGCCGAAGTAAAGCCGCCGCGTGTCGTGCGATTCATAGCGCGACGACAGAAGTTTGAATGCACGGTACTCGTCAGGGGAAAACGTCGATGTCCGCGCCGCACACGATGCGGTTGTTGATGCTGCATCGCCGTGGGGCCACGCAGCCGCCCACGCCGCCGCACTCGACGCCGCGCTCACGAGCAGGCCGGGAGCAAAGCCGGCAACGAAGCGCACCATGAAAAGAGATGCCTAAACACGACTAAGCCTCGGTGCAGTTAGACACAGAGTCACAATAGGGGAGAAAATAGGTCGGAAAGAATACGTGCCGAAGAGCTATTTTTTTATTATGCGCGTATATAACTGTGTGTGTGTGTGTCTGCAGCTCACACACGCTGTACATCCTGCTGCCGCCACACACAAACAAAATGACAGGCAAAAATGCAGTCATATACAGACTCACTCACTCCCTCACACACACTCACGAGAGACAGATGTACGGGTGGCACAGTGTTAATGGAGAACTTTACTGTCGGATGGAGAGAAGATTTTGTCCATCGATCTGGTGTAGTTCCTCTTGTTGGAAATGCAGCATAATTCGCTCAGTAAAAAGGATGACAAATGACAACTGCACCGTGGCTCTGCGACATGCTGTTAAAGCGCGGCGCAAATCCAGAGTTACCGCAATTACATTCATATCTCCTTCTTTCTCTCTCTCTCTCCTTCTAGGGTATTTATTACCTTCCCTCGGGTCCAACATGCCACACGCCGCTCCGTCAAGCGCATACACCCTCGTCGCTGCAAAGCGACACTGGCATAAGGGGGAGGGGAGATACGCGCCAGCATCAAGGGTAGCAATGATAGTAGTGCCTTGCAGCATCGATTGGTGATGAAATCACACATGGATGCATGCATGCACGTGTGTGTGTGTGTGTGTGTGTGTGTGTGTGCACATGTACAAGACCTGCTGCCGTACAGGGCCAGGGTGCAGGGGGAATATCCACGAAAATGGAACGCAAACGATCATCAAAAACAAGAAAAAACTGCTACACGCGGAAGAAACATCAATACTTAGCGAGCAAAAACAACATAAAAAAGAAACATCAATAGAAACACAAGCACACGGGCACACAAAGTGGGAGAGGTGCATGTGCGTAAAGGACAAACGAGGCCCACAAAAACAAAAAAAAACAAAGAAAAAAAACGCACATCATCGCAATTGAAAGAAAAACATACTTGGGGGGAGGCGAGTGGAAAGACTGTCGTTGTTGTTGTCCTCCCCGCGACAGACAGTTGGCCGCAGAGAGTGAGAAAGCACGGGAGAAAGACAGAAAGAAAAAGACAAAAGAAAGGTTTGGGCAAACAAGAAAAAAAAAAAACAAAGACAGAACGTCATACAACAGAAGGAAAAACAAAACGAAATAAGCCATAAAGCTTCAACTGCAACACTCAAATTTTGCTTGCTTGTCTTTTTTTTTTTAGTGGGCTTTCTTTGCTATATTTTTCCCCCATTCCAATCTCCCTCGTCTCCACCGCTCTGCGTTTCGTCTGGAATGGAGGGCGTGTTACGCCTCTCCGCAGCCGCCCGCCTCCCCCATCCCTTCCGGTGTGTCTTGCTTCGTATTATGTGTGCGCGTTTATTACATGTGTGTTTGTCGTGGATCAAGTATGCGCGTACGTGAGTGTGTATTTGTGTGTGTGTGTGTGTGTCGTTGGTTTTTATCTGTGTTTTGTTTGTTTCTCTGTCTGGTTTTGTGACATTTTTTTTCTCGTTTCTTCCCTCACCATCGCCTACTCGCTCTACTACAGTGGCACGTGAAACAACGGCATTTGTCCCTCTCTCGCGAGTACCACGCTTGTGCTCCGCTCTTATTAATATACCTTAAGAATATACACACACACACACAGATATATATATATATATACGCCGACACATACAACACACAATAGCTCGTTTTGTGCAGTTCATCTGTTTCATTGGTGCCTCTTCCTTCTCTTTGAATATTGTACTCTTTTTTTTTGGTGAATATCTCACTCTGTTCGGAATATTATGCCCCCCGCTCGCTGCGTAGATTCATACATGCAGTACCATTGCGCTCAATATTGCTTTTTTTTTTTGTTTTCTTCGTTGTCATCTGTGTTGTGGGTAGCGGCATGCGTACGCCAGGCAGCGGCTCTATTGGCCCAACCCGCACAATCATTGGATGAATGATGAAAAGATGGATGGATGCGGGAAAAAAAAACACAGAAAGTCACAGACGCACTCATTCACACAAGCATACCCTTGGGCGCACAGACGTGCAATTGCATGTGTGATACGATTCGCGGTGAAGTCTTCGCAATTTACCTCAGACACGACAAATAACGAGAGCAAGCGGCCCCTGAAAAATCACTACGATTTCAGCATCTTTAGTGTGTCCGCCCATGGCACATCGGCCACGCAGTCGTGGTACGCCGTGTACACGCTGAAGGCGTCCGCTGCGTTCTCGAGCGTGCTGAGCAGATCGAGCACCGCTTTGCGGTTGATAACGCCGCTCGCGCACCAGTGATCAAAGACACGCTTCAGCGGCCGCAGCCGCGCCACGTCCACAGTGGACGGCTTACACGTGTCGTTGAGTGTCTGCGTGTGGTACATGACGAGCTCCATCACAACAGCGCCCTGGTGCAGAATGCCGGGCCGCTTGCTGAGCACCTCGCCCACCACGTGGTCCACATCGCTGGGCAACGCCAGCATGCGGCCATTGTTGTAGGACACACTCGAACAAACGAGCAGGGCACCCACTACCCGCATCACCGCAATTAGCTCGCACACAGTGGAGTTGTTGCCGAGAGGGCTTAGTGCCAAGTTCACCGCATCGCCGCACCAACGCGCTGCAGCGCCACCGTCAGCAGCCTCGTCCCGCAACTTGCGGAAGAGCACGAATTCGGGGTCGTCAGAGATGCGCGGGAACACGACGCATTGCGCCAGCGGGTCATAGTGGCCCGTGCCTGTGAAGGAGTCGCCGAGCGGGCTGTTGCGCATCGGTGATGATGTCATCCGTGGACGTGAGGACGGCGTGCCGGGCATGGCGTTGTTCGTGACAGAGCTCACGCTCAGAAGATAGGGAAGCAATCGGAAGCGATTTTGCACTGCAATGCGAAGTATCTGTCTTTCATCCTCTGGATCATGCAGGTTGTTCAACAGTTGCTGGCTGACAGGGTAGCAGCTCTTCACAACCGTCACCATCTGGTCCGTCCCCCCGTTGATAGTCAGCTCGCGCAGTAGCACGTTAAAGAGGCCACAGTGCATCATGTTCCGCACGACCTCAATATGCGGAAGTGCATCGCTGCACGGAAGGTGGCATTGGAGAATCATTTGTGCAAAGTTATCAAACATGCGCGGACAGTTGTCGTATTCGCCCTTCTCCAAGTCGAACCGTATCCATTCAAGCTCCGTCGAAAAGACAGTCTTCGTGTCGTATGCACCGCTGCATGTGCGCAACAGTGAGGAGAGCAGGGAAGCCACTTTGCTGCGATCCTCGAAGTAGGAAGTATTTGTGGCCGCGAGGCGCAGCCACCACGTGAGGCACACCACCATATTCTTTAGACCCATATCCCGAAGCATCTTAATGGCCGCCGTTTCCTCGCCCTTTCGAAAGAGACCCATCAGCTGTTTTGTTATCTCCTTGATGTTCACCATTGTGTCTGTGAGAGGCGTTTTACCGCGGCTAGCCCACGGCGAGCCAAGTCCCTCGCTTGCGGTGCCAGAGCACCCCGTCTCACTACCCTGATGCATCTGTGGCGGGGAATATGGCATTGCATAGTCGGATCCACCGCGCACCGGTGTGATGGGGCTGTTGTCCATGGCAGGATTAAAGCTGGCACTGAACTGGCTCTCGCTGCCGCTGACGATGCGTGTGAGGGTGAGGCTGCTGTATGGTTGATGCTGTCCACGTCGGACCCGCTCAGCCGCGCGGGAAGGAGACTTAAGAGCATCACTGGTGTTGCTGTTGCTGTTTTTATTGTCATCGATGTTATTGTTATTGGCGTTGCTGGTGTTGTTGTTGCCGCTCATGCAGGCACTTGTACTGAAATCGTTCCGACTCCCATTAGCCTCGCTAACGCTGTTCCCATTACTGTTCATGGTGCTTACAAAGCTCTTGTTGTTGCCAATCGGATCTTTTCCATTACAGAGGCGTTTCGACACGAACACCTCACTGGTCTGTGCACTGGTTCGTGTGCCTTTATCCACCGGCACGGCTGCGAACGACGAGAGAGAGAGCGGTGAGACCACGTTGGAGCCCTTTCGGGGGGAAGCAGATGTGTTATTGTTATTCTTCGGCAACCGCACATGCCGCTGAACCATCTCCGGTGAAACCCAACCATTGGCCCGATTGAGATCATCCAAGTCCATCATAAGAAACGTTACCCTTGGCTTGGGATGCGACAACTCAATTGTCTTGGCGATACCCAACGCCTGCGCAAGGAGATTCGGCAGCAACTCCTTCAGCAACGCCCCAGTATGCCGCACAAGTGTCACAAATACCTCAAAGACGCTCTCTTCCTTGGCCGTAGGCATATCAGGGTCGTAGTCGCGCACAAGAATGCGCACCACATCCTCAATGACGCGCTCCGTGAGGAGTCCGATATTGAAGAGCTCCGCAACAAAGCGAATGTTGCCGACTAGGCGTGCCTTCAGGCGGCCGCGCTTCATCTCCACCTCCTCCTCGCACAACGGGGTGCCGGTCGTGCGGTCAACCAGCTCGTCTGCAGAGAGCTGCAGCGGCCGCTGGAACTGCGCCTCACACGACTCAATAAGTAACCGGCGAAAGCGACGTGAGAAGTTACGATCACGCGCCTCGACATCGCGGTCACCATCCTTAATAGAGCAGATATCATTGACCAGGCGCGCGTAGAGTCCACTGTAAGATGGCTCCTGAACCGCCTTCTCAAAGACAACCTTGCAAATCTCCATCAACTCAGCATCTTCTGTCTGACGCAACGGGAGCAGCATCATCTCGTCACGAAGTGCGTCGTACTTTACCGGTGTGAGACGGCTTAAAATCGACATCACCTTGTGATGAGTCAGTCGCACCGGCTTCGCGCGCGCTCTGCCCTTGAGGGAGCTACCCAGTGCTCCTCGCGTCACGCCGTCATTGGGGCTGACCACCTCGTGCAACGAAAGCTGTAGATGCCGTGGCACCTTCAGCGATGGGATCTGTAGGTACTGCTTCACAGCCCAGTGGAGTACACCGTAGGGCGTGTGCGCTGCATCGTGCCGGACCGACATAAACATGTCCATCGGGTACACTCGTTCCTCGCTTGCCGGCTGTGTGAACCTGTGAAAACAGGTGCTGACAGGCGTGCTCAGTGGGGATATGGCGCTGCAGCTGCTCACCGGGGGCAAATCAATATCCTCCAGCGACGGTGTCAGTGTCGGCGACTGCCCGAGTGCCGGCGGAGGCACCAACCGGTGCTCTCTTGCCGCCGGCTCACGTGGTGCGTTGCCGTGCGGGTACCACGGCCGCGCAGTGGCAGTCAGCACATTTTTGGATGGCGGCGTCGCCCTCATGAGCCGCGCGGGTGGGCGGAACACCGACGGCTTCCACGCCTCGCTGGTGGCGAGGGTGAGAGGACCCGGGGTGGCGGTAAGCATCTTATCTCGATGACAATAATAGCAACCTTTGCTAAACTGAACAACACGCGATGAAGTAAAAAAATCGCAAAAAAAAAAAAGAAAAGAGACACGTAAAAAAAAAAAAAAGAATGAGAATGACGGGAATCATCATGCAAAATTATGCCAGCAATAAATAGAATATGTTTACCAGAAAATGGCACATACGCTACAAGGCAAGCATGAGAAGACAAAAAAAAGTCCACTCTTTCATTTTACATGCGCAGCGTGGAGAGAGGAAGAGGACACTGAAAGCGCAGGCATAGCAGTCGGCGTCGACAAGAGTGCCTCAGCCCTGCCGAGGGCGAGCTGAAGCTTCTCCTGGAGATATGCAACCTCCTTGTCGCCGTCACTGCTTATCATCGGCTTCTCGCCACGCTCCACCGCCACCGCATTCTCCCGCCGCGCAGACTCAAGAAGTGCGGCGATCTCACGCTCACTCGGCGGCGGTGGCAGATCGCGCGACCAGGCGGGCCGCGGGACGCAGGCTAGTTTCTCCACACCCTCCGCTGGGCACAGCGCCTCCAGCTGCACAGTTTCATGCAGCTGTTCCAAGCGTGCATTGATTCTTTGCATGCGTGCCTGCCGCCGCCTCATCTCACGCACCTCACGCATGTATGCGTCACCAAGCGTCTTTGCCGTAGGCTTCTCCTCGGTCAGCGTTGCTGTTGCTGCGTCTCCCGCCACGTCGGTGCTTTTAGTGCTGTCGTCGATAGCACCGCCATCATCTCTCCCGTAGTCACTGCCCGCATCATCATCAACGTCTGGCGCAGTGTCACCACCATCAAGCGGGCCTCGGACCTCCCGCAGCCACCGCAGTCGCTCCTCCACAGCAGCGAGGCGGTTGGTAGCAACGGTGTAGGGCGACTGCTCAGCCGCGAAGTCGGTGTGCATGACCTCCGCAATTCGGCGATCCTCTTCCGCCGTGAGCCCGACACCGCGCACCCGTAGCAATGGCTGTCGTCTTACCAGCGCTACCCCTCCTGCTTTTACTCCTGATGATGACGAAGGTTTTCCCTTCTTTTTCTTCTTCGTTGACTTACGCTGTTGCTGTTGAAGTTGGGATTGTTGCGATGACGACGTCAGGGTTTTGAGTGGCGTAACGGACGCCGAGCGCAGGCGCACATGGCGACCGAGGCGGCCGCGATTCAAAGGTGTGCAGCGCTCGCCCGTCCCGGACTTCTCTTCTACGGTTGCCTCTGTTAGTGTTTCATGCTCTGCGTCATTCTCTGCGCCCTTGGCACTATCCACGGTGCCGGCAAGCAAAACGTCGTCCCCGCCCCCGTCTCCTTCGGCACTAATATTATCGGCGGTGACGGCTTCTGCTGCAGCAGTAGCGCTGTCATCGACTACGTCATCTTCCTCCGCGACCGGCACGAGAAGTTTTCCCTCGTTGTCCACGCATATATGATACTCATGTCCATCATTGTCGAAGGCCGTTATGAACGTCTCGATCGTGTTGGCGAGATTGCTGATTTCCAGCTCGATGTTAACCCTCTCACCAGGACCTGCATCCCCTGCTGTTGCAGTTGTTTCCTCCGTCGTCGCGCTGTCGCCATGTCGATGAAGGTACTTTACGAAGAAAGCGGAGTTCGTCTCTAAAAAGCGCAGCAGCTCACTATCTCGGATGCGACCCACATCCTCCTTTGTAAGTGAAACATGCCGCCCCCCGTTGACGAGCGGCACACTCTTCTGCAGCAGTTGTTCAGCCCGAGCAATGGAGGAGACCGACATGGACGGCGCCAAAGACACCGCCGTCAGTGAATTGGCATCGTCAACGCCAAAATCCTCATCGCTGGCGTCGCTGCAGTTGTCATCCTCGACTATTTCACCAAGACTTCCGTCAAGCTGCGTCCCCAGCACACGGGCGGAGAGGACCTGTAGAAACACGCGGGATGCCAACGAACTCAGCATGGAGTCACAGTCGTCCACCGAGGCTGCGTTGTGCGGCCCCCCAGTGAGGCTGGCAGCCTCGTCGCCGCCGCTGCTGCTGCTGCTGTCACTCGACGAGGAAGTTGTATGATACCTCGGCTGCATAGGCCCTGTCGTGCCCCAAAGAAAAAAGGTAGAGAAAGAAGCGCCTTTTCAGAAACAAAGAAAAAAACAGCCAACGCCCATTCACCTGCCGCAGGCGTGCACACAAGCACCTTCAAGCAAGTGAGAAAAAAAAAACAGGCAGTGAACCAATCATGATCCTGCGCAAACAAGAGAGAGAGAGAGAGACAACACTAGCGATAAATCACTGTACAAAAAGTTTTCAGAAGCAACGGCAGAAACTACTTTATCTTCCAAGCATTCATCACTGCAGCCATCGTCCTTTACGATGGAAGGCCTAGAGGGAGGGGTGGCAGCGCTTGAGACCCCAACAAGAACGATTTTCATCGGCGGCCATTAACGTCCGCGTGAGACTTCACCTCTTTTCGTCTGTCCCTCCCCTAATCGTTGGCACAATGCGATCGCCGCAGAGGCGGTTGTTCACGCTGAGGCCGTATATGCCGTTCAGAGAGCGTTTTAAGTACTGTGCTCGCTGACGTGGGTTGAGTCGGCTCATGCGCGACGGCAATGTCGGCGACTTCCTGAAAATAACCGGCCGAAATGTTTTGTATCTTCACGCGACTGATGTGACTACTGTCACTTTCCCCGTTAGCGGGACGCAGCGGCACCGAGCCGAATATCTTCTTCTGCTTCGCCCCCAGCTGGTGGATGGTCGTCCAGCTGCGATTCGAAACGGCGGCGTCCTCCTCCCGCAATACAACACCGTGGTCCTCCGCGTCCACGGAGGGCGAGAGCGTCGTGTAGCCGACTGCGCAGCTCGCAATCCGGCTGCTACAGCACCATAAGAGCGCCACCTTCATCACCATTGTTTCGGTCACAGCTGCCGTCGCTATTCTCGTCTTTGCCGCCAAGTCGACTTCTGGCGGGCGGACGCTGCACAGCTGCTGCTACGCGGTTTGTGTGCATCGGTGGACGGCCACAGTCCACATTAATTCTGATGTCCGTAAAGCTCGCACACGCCAGCACGCCGGACTACCGACCAAAGTGGTACTGCGTCGGTGCACTCACAAGAGTCGACACCAACTCTCGTGCAACCTCATCGGAGGAAAAGGCGAGGAAGAGATCGTGCCCCCCCTGCACCTTGAGCAGCAAACACGGCTGCAGGTCACTGCGGTCGCTCTTCCAGTTGATGCACGCCGCCACCACCTGCTCAAGCGTCACGCACTGCGTGGTGTCAACCTCGGTGTGTTCCCCACTTATATGTGGAGAAAAGGGGAGATACGCGGTGCGTGACGCTTGAGCAGGTGGTGGCGGCTGCCCCCAGTGAAGCACGCGGACAAACCAGAGCAGCGCAGCGGGCCCGCAGAGGCTTGGAAACACCGGCAGCAGCAACTCTGGCACCTCCACCGAAGGTCAGTTCCGTCAGCAGGTCGGCTTTGCTAGACTCTGAAGCAGTAGTGTCATGTGGCCCTTGTGGGAGCTACAGCGGGTGCTCAGCGCCGTACTGTTGTTGGAGGTGGAAGAAGAAATCCTCCTCGCCTCCACGGAGGGCACGTATGATTTCATCGATCTCCGCTTCCTCCGGCACCGGCAGCCCCGCCCGCACAAAGAAGGCTGCTATCCGCGCGTCATTTCGCTGCGTCAGGGGCACAGGATCTGGGCCGTATTTGGCTTCCAGCCAGTAGAAGAGCGCATCTTCGTGCACACGACACTTGTGCAGCAACTCCTCGGTCTCCCCGCTGCGTTTCGGCACGTAGCAGGCGAGAAAGGTCTCCAGCCACTCAGACCACGATGGTCGGTCCATTGCTTGGGTTTCATCTGGAAGAAGCGGTGGTGGTTACAGCAACGCAACATCACCATCATCGCAAGTAGCGGTGCCACTAGCATAAGAGCTCACAGTCGGCATCGGCCCGTAGATCCGTGTGGGTCTGTCGAAGAGCACGTGCCCACGGCCCACATAGAGCTCCACAATAGCTTCGATCTCCGCCATCTTCTTCAGCTAATATCTGCGGTAGAATTGCACCAGACGCTCACAGATCTCCTCAGGTGTGAGGGTGGTGGCATACCTATTGAGCTGCACATCCACCTCACCGGGCTCGGGACCGTAGCGCAGCACAAGCTGACGAAACAGTTCTTCCTCACGGCTCTCGCAGCAACGCAGAACGTCTTCAACAATCCTGACACTGTCGGGGATGCACTTTGCGCAGACCGCCTGCAGACGCTCCATAGACTCGGGCTCTGCACGCTTTTCCTGCAGCCTAGCGTTCTCGGGATACGTCTGGTAGAGAAGGCTGAGTAAGCTCCAGCTCCCTCCCCATGTACCGCTCCGTTGGCAGCGACGCCTTCGTCAGGCTGGACGGCTCACATGTTCGCATAATATCGCTAACGCGAGAGAAGACGCAATTGCGGAGCTGCACAGTCCCCGAGGTGGGCGGCATTTAAACAGCTAGCATGCGATAACTACCCTTGGGCTGCAAGCGCAACATTGACCCCTCCTTAGCCCCGACGCTCCTGATGGGTAACGTGTTCTCGGAGCTGTTCGTGCAGAGGACGGTATGCACGTGCTTCAGCATCACGTCGCCGTCCTTCCCCACCGTCTCCACACAGATGTCCACGTCCTTCACCTTGGACACAAACGACACGAAGCGCCGCTTCTGCATGGGGTCAATGGAGTGCACGTAGATGACGGAGATCACATTCAGAGGCATGACCCGCATCTGCTGCTGCCTCGGGGGCGACGTGGAGCATCACCAGCCCGCACAGGAATAGCGACACGCCCTTGAATGGCGGGAAGCAAAAGCGGACGACTTCCGGCACGTACGCGTCGACCGGAACATCAGCAGCCCGCCACTCCTCGTCGATCACGCGGGCAAGCGTCATCACGAGTTGAGACTGTGACACCGTTGCTGGCACACGCAATGCCACCCCAGGTGACACAGCACGTAGTGGAATCGTGTCACGCAACTCTTCTTTGCTGCTGCTTCTGCTTCCATTGGCGGCCTTCTTTCTCTTCTTCTGAATGTGGGGCGGCAGTAGACGTGGAGCTCGGCAGCAGGCGCACGGCACCCTCCGGCAGCTGCTCGCACCTCTCGACTATTTGGTTGCGCAACGGTATGGGCGTGCCTAGCGCCAGCAACATCTGCCCAACGGCAACCACAGCAGAAAGCCCCGCGCACCCCAGGAAAACAAAATCATTTAGCCCCTGCTGCTTTTCACGCAAAAGCAACCGAGAAGAGCTTGCGCGGCTCTTCGCTGTCCACTTCACGTGAAAGTGGGTTGGCATTCGTGACAATGCCCCAAAGACTCGTGAACTTCACACGCTGGTACAAAACACCCCCCTCAGTGTCAGTGTAGGTGATGTCGCTCGAAACGAGCACCACCACCGGCTGCCACGTATAGGCAATCTCCTTTTCCTTGCTCTCCTTGCCGAGCGGCAGTAACTACACTTGCGCGCAGAAGTAAACGGCACAGTTGTCGAGGAAGCCGCATGCGGCATGCGGTGCCTTGGGTAGCACTGCGTACGGCATGTCCATGGCGCTATCGAGCGCCGTCGCCATTTGGTCCATGCCAAGAAAATAGCCTGACGAGAGAACAGAAGAGGAAATATAAGTATGCGAGATAAAGCACAGTATAGCATAAGCGATCAGGACATCTTGAAGCAGGTTTCCAATGAGTTGTGGAGATTCTTTTCAAAGTATTGTGATCACTACTCGTTGCTGTTGTACGTGGGTGATGCACCCGTGTACCACGCAGGGGATCCTGTGCGATCGGTGGCCCGCTCCTGCATCTGTCTCACACTATCGCTTGAACTCTGCTTAATCTCCACCTGATACTGCGCCCCGCCACCCCCAGCTGTGTGATCAACAGAGAGCATTTCCGCCAGCGCATCTGCCGAGAGCGCCTCATCAGCGTTGGATGTTGCCTCTCCACCAGCACCACCACCACTTCCTTCGGCCGGAGTACTATTCACGCGCAAAACCGATGCAGTGAGTCCACTCTCCCTCTCCGTTGCCTGCTGCTGCTCCCGCGCAAGAAGTGTCACCTGGTGCGGGGTGAGCTGCTCACGGTGCAGCTGCGCGAGCACACCCATCACTACCGTTGCCTCACGCATCGTGATGAAGCGGCCAGAAAGTTTTGCCTCCTCCGCCTGCACTGCCGCCACACGCCGCTTCACGGAGAGGTCGTCGTAGAAGCCTTGCAGGACCTTCTTGATGGCCACGCTGTGCTCAACGCCCCTGCGCTTGAGCTCGTAGTACTCCTTCTCCATCCGGTCGAGAGGCTTCCGCACCCAGAAGATGTTGTAGTACCGCATCCCCTCCGATGCAACGAGCCGACTCTTTCGCGCCAACTCATCGCGCAGCGCGACCCGCTCGCGGCTGAGTGTGTCCGTGTCATCCTGGGTCGGCTCACTCGCGTTGTGCGGGTTGAGCGTCTTCTCCTGCTGGAAGTTGTGGTTGATGGGCGGGAACATGCGGAAGTGGCTGTACCACTCGGGCGGGATGTAGAAGCCGGTGCCGACCAGCCGCGCCATGCGCTTCATGTGCTGCCACGGCTCGTACGGCTCGTTCCACGTGTCGAATCGCGGCGCCACGCCCATGTTCTTCGGCATCTTGTACCGCAGCAGCAAGGTCTGCCGCATTGTCGCCTCTGTCCCTGTCTCTGTGTCCGACGATGTATTCCGGCTACGCTATGCACCTACAGCAGGACGGCAGCGGTGGTGGTGGAAACGAAGAAGTGAAAAGAGAAGAGCCGCGTTGCGCCAGACGTAAGCACAGACATATACAAACAGACACGCGCACACAACTGCAGCCAAACACGCAATGAACGCACCCCGTGGGTGCGCGCGCAGCACAAGTGGGTCGCCGGGGAGATGAGGGGAGACAATGGAGATAAGCCACAGTGGGAAAGAGAAGCACCTGCTGCTGCTGCAAGATAAGTGTTTCTGATTGGAGCAACTGTGATGCGTGTCTTTCCGCGTGCTCCTGAGGGTAACGACGTAGCATCCCCCGCACAGCATACGCGAAGAGGGGAAAGAAGTCAAGCAACGCTACCACATCGGAGCACGCAGACACGCATACCGCAGAGGGAAACGGAGGAATTTTCTTTGTCGACATACATGGAAGTGGTGAAAGAGAGACGGAAGGCAACGCTTCAATAGAAGCTCAAACGTGCAGAACAACCGAAACATATTTGTAAATATCTTCATCTATATATATATATATATATAGATGTGTGTGTGCAAATCCACACAAATATAAAGAAGCACTCCCAAGTGTCATCGTGTGCGACTTCCTCTCTTCTTCATGACTCTCCCTTTTTGTGTGTTCTCTTCCTGGAATTTTAAGTCCCCTCCGTTGTTTTTCGATTCTTCATTTTGTTTTTGTGTTGTTGTTGTTTTTTTTTCGCTTTGGAGCTTTGCATGTGACATATAGCCAACAATTTCCTTCCATCTTGTTTGACGCCACCGCTTCCAGGTGTTGTTGGCATCGTCCACACACACACTCACACACCCACGCATACACGAATCAAACTTTTTTCAGCACCGTTTGATTTGTGTTGCGCCTCCCTTGCGGCACTCATCCCATTCCTACCCACTCCCTTCGGCTCAGATGCGCGCATGTCCTCTAGTGTAGATATAAGTCGACTCAAGAGTGGGTCTCAAGCTTCCGTACTTCCCCCCGCTCTAATTCTCTCGTTCATTGTGACGTGCCAGAAACCACCACGACGCGCGCGTGGCGCAACATGCGTTGATCTGTGTGTCTGTGAGCCTCTTTCCCAGAGACAGAAACACCCTGAGCGCACCTCGTCCTTTCCTCCTCCCCTTCTCTGGAGCCATATCTTTTTTTTCTGCGCCCCCACCCCTATAGGATGAACTTCTTGATGTCCACCTTCTTCATCATCCCATCCACAGACTTCTTCACATACGCCGCGTCAATGACAAACTTCTCGCCCCGCCGGTCAGGGCCGTCAAAGCTGATCTCTTCCACAACTTTCTCCGTGATGGTGATAAGGCGACGCGCGCCGATATTTTGCACAGTGGAATTAATATGTGCAGCAATCGAGGCAATCTCCCACAACGCGTCATCAGTGAAAACAAGCTCGACACCCTCCGTCTGCATCATCGCGATGTGCTGCTTGATGAGGTTATACTTGGGCTCCGTGATGATGCGATGGAAGTCCTCTGTAGTGAGCGGCTTCAGCTCTACGCGGATGGGGAGTCGTCCCTGCAGCTCCGCCAGCATGTCCGACGGCTTCACGTTGTGGAAGGCGCCACTGCAGATAAAGAGGATCTTGTCCGTTTTAATCTGCACATTGAACTTCGTCGACACGGTGGTGCCCTCGACAAGCGGGAGCAGGTCCTGCTGCACGCCCTCCGCAGAGGCCTGGTGGCCCTTGTAGCCACCCGCCGCCGTCACGATCTTGTCGATCTCGTCAATGACGACAATGCCGTCTTCCTCGCATGCACGAAGTGCCTCAGCAGAGACATCATCTGTCTCTACCATCTTGTCAAGCTCCTCCTGCAGTACGGCGGGGAGTGCATCCTTAATCTTCAGCACCTTCTTGACCGTCTGCGGCCGCTGCCCCCCCATCGCAGAGGAGATGTCAAAGGAGATGAAGACACCCTCGCCGGCCGCCGACTTGGGCTTCTCCTTCTTCTCCTGCAGCTCCACCATAACCTCGATGTCGTCGAGGGCGCCGCTGCGGAGATGCTCGCGGAAGCTGTCCGACACGCCGGCCAGAGCCTTGAGGATGCGATCCTCCGCCTTCTGTCGCGCCTCCTCCTCGTGCTGCCGCATTATGTTCTGCTTCGTCTGCGACAGCGACGCCTTGTAAAGGTCCTCGATGATGCTCTCCACGTCCCGGCCGTGGAAGCCCACCTCAGTAAACTTTGTCGCCTCTACCTTCACGAACGGTGCATCCACCAACTTCGCCAGACGACGCGCAATTTCCGTCTTACCGACACCGGTGGGCCCTATCATCAGAATGTTCTTGGGCGCAATCTCCTCGCCTATCTCCGGCTCCACCTGGTGGCGGCGCCAACGATTACGCAGAGCGACAGCTACAGCCTTCTTGGCGTCCTTCTGGCCAATGATGTAGTTGTCCAACTCCTGCATCAACTCCCGTGGCTTCATGTTGCGCACAAGTGACTGCACCTGCGCGGGTTTCCGTGGGGGCGGCAGAGGAGCAGCAGATTCAGGAGCCGCCGCACTACAAGATCGAGCAGCGCCAGCGAAGTTCGTCATCACCCTGACGGGGAGCGGAAAGGCGGCCGCACGACGCATGCTCCCACGACTCCTACAAACTGTTGCTGTTTCTGCTGCTTTGGCTGGTAGTGTTGATGGTGAGAGAGAGAAAACGTTATCTAAACGAGGACGTGATTTTTTATTTTCTTTTTTTTTTCTTCTCGTTCTCTCCTTGGAAAAAAAAAGAACCCTTTGCACAGAGATGCACACAAACGCACAGAGGTTTTTTGTAGAAACAAAAAAACGTGAACAGTAAAGAAATAAGGACTGCACCGCCAAAGACACTGCAAACACATACGTAGAGTGAGAGCGCAAACACACACACACACACAGACACAGAGAGAGAAAGACAGGCTTGTGCACCAAGGGAGATGGAGACATGCACGCCATAGCACTTCGGACGACACCGACACTGCCCTTTATACCGCGTTGCTGAACAAAACGTGCTGCTTCTTCCGCTTCAATGGGGCCATGGAACGGGTCTTGTGAAGGAGTCGAAGCAAGCTTGTCAAAAGGAGCCATTTTTGCCGCTCCATAATGTTGGCAGTGTATGTGTTGCGCGAGCCCACCTGCAACTCCTCCTGCAGGGTGTTGTAGTACACAGCCGAGTACAGTCCGAGGCCGTGTGGACTACACAGATTGACAAGCAGTGGGTAGCGCATCATCAGGTCGGACTGACGCGCCAACAAACCCACCACGTCTGTTGGAAGTTTCAGGCGTTGAGTGAAGGCGTACGCGATAAACTTTGATTGCGCCTCAAAGAGCATAAAAGGTGGCAGCAACTCCTTCTGCATACCTACAAAGGCAATAGAAGGGTTATGCGCGTACAAGGTACCAAGGTAGAGGCCACGATGGTACAAAGCCGTCGTGGCAGAATCCTCGCATTGATTCAGTTGTCGTTGCTTCTGTTGAGGTCGTTGCTGTTGGTGTTGGGGAAGCAGCAGTGGCGGAGCCTCCAGCACATCCCTCATTTCGCGATTCAAAAACGGGTAGCGGGTAGTGTACCCCGTTGCGCAGATCACAGCATCCACGTTGTCAATAAATGTACCGCTTCCACCACTATTCTTGTTGCTGCTGTGTCCCTCACGCGCCAAGAAACGTGCCTTAGCCTCATCAATAACATCTGTCGTGCGCACATGTGGATCTGCAAAGAGAATGCCCCGTCCCTCGCATGTGATGGGGTGACCGACGCCCGGCACTTCACCCCACAGCGCGCCGTTGCGAAGCCGCAGCCAACTGGAGACGATGCGGCTTCCTTTCGTGGCGTCCGTGCGCCAGCCGGGCGTGCGGGACAGAAACTGCAGCACCGCACCCACCGCATCTCGCATCGCACCTCCACGACTCATACGCACAGACGGCTGCCCCACCGTCTCGTCCCACAGCAGCACTCGGTCCGCCGCACTGTGACTGTGGTGCACATCCGCGCCACAGCGCCGCAGCTCCAAGCAGTAATCACATGCCGTGACACCGTCACCCACCACAACAACACGTTTTCCTCTGAATTGGCGAAAGTCCTTCACATGGGAAGCGTGGTGCAGCTCGCCTCCATCTATCAAGTATGGCGCCAGTAGCTCCTTTATCCCGTCTGGGTACCTCGGCTCGTGTGTCTGTCCCGTGCAGACACACACCTTGTCAAAGGACCACTCGAATACATCGCCATTTACAATGTTAACTGTGATGATGCGCCAGACAGCAGACCTCTCGTCGTAGCGCACTGACTGCACCTTTGTATTAAAGCGCACGAGCCCCCTCACACCTTTCTGCTCGGCGTACTGCTCTAAATAGCGACGCACAGAGGAGTGGTGTGGAAACTGAGGCACAGAGTAGTCAAAGCGCTGGTCGCTAAAACTCAACAGATCCTTGGGAAGCACACAACGCATTGTTGGGTGCACCGGGGACACGAGGCCACGCGAAGAAAATGGGCTGCGTGTGTCACTGTTCCAAACACCGCCCGGGTCAGCCGCGAGCTCGAAGCACGTCACAAGCAGCCCACTTCGGCGCAGTGTTGTGCTTGCCACCATCCCTGCGGCGCCGCAGCCGATCACCGCGCATGAGAGCATCCAGTGCCACTTCTCGCAGTTGCTGTAGCAAAGCGAATGATGTAGAGAAGAGTGGAACAAGGACGCGTCTCGTGCCGGATACCCTGGAACATCAATGCAGCAAAGAGAACAGAGACATAATCAAAACAATGGAAATATCCAAACAAAAAAAGAACAAAATGCAAATAAAATCGTATCGAGTACTGGTTTTCACTTTCACACTCTACATCAAAGGAAACAGTGAGTGTACCAGCACTGCAGCCATCATACATCACCCGAAGATTTTTTCCCCGCCGAAATCTCTCTGGCAAAGTATGAACCAACGGGCTGTGACCTCTTCGCCGCAACAGCAGCCGCCTCGTCGTACAGCTCAGGTGTCACACCAATAAGGCGCCGCATGGTTGAATGCCGTTCATCCTCCAAAGAAGGTTGTGGCTGAATATGTTGCGTCCCCTTAGCTGCCACAAGCAACTTCTTCACCTCAATCCCCGTCACAAAAGGGACAAATGCCATCCGGCGTGGCGCCGTCTGTGGTTGCGACACATGGTGCAGCGTTTCATGGCCATTCTCGGCATCACAACGGTTGGGTGGTGAATTTGCTTGGAATCGCGACGTCACCCGAGGAAGTTCTGTCGTGTTAACGTAGTTATGATCTGGTGCAGCGTAAAGCAGCCACACCTCCGCCTCGCAGCTGCTCTCCAGATTGATTTCACCTATGTATGCAACAGACGCGGGTGAGAAATGCAAGAACGACAATAAGGTCCGCGATCCGTCATTTACGTGGCGCAATACCACCGCAACGCCAGCGACGTTGGCGCACGACGGCATGACAACAAATCGTGCAGTACCCTCCGCCACCTGGTGTGTCAGTGGTGAGAGAAGCTTACAAATAGACGGGCTAAGGTGTTGGCGCGGGAGCTGCGGCACCTGATGCGGCACGAACGTCACCAGTACTTGATACGCCACGACAGGCACAAATGGCTCCTCCGAGATGGCAGCGGAAAAAGGATCGCTTCGGATACCCCGCGCACCGAAAATAACGCTGTAGTAGCCTATCTCTGGCACCATTATAGTGAATGTTTCGCAACCAGTGGACTCTTCACGCTGGTGCCACGACCACTGTGGCCCAAGCGGTGTCGCCATGCTGTAGACCTCCGGCAGATCCTCGAGGGCACCCTTGTAGACAACGCAGCACAGCTCTGTTCGCCCAGGCTGCTCGTTGATGAGGCTAATGTGGAACGGCGTTGAGCGTACTGTCATGGCGCAGCGACGCCGATGCGAAGCGAGCGCGAGCGGGAAGCGGAAGAAAGTGTGGGTGAGGCACGGTGCGCCCTCCCACACAACCTTTCGCGGTGGCGACGTCAAAAGCGTGTACCGCCCTTCCCTGGGGAAATGCGTGGCGCAAAACCGCTGCGGGTGTGTGGCGAAGTAGAAACTCTCCATGCGCTTCCCCTCCTCTGAGCCGCAGGCTGCCAACACGGGGCCGTCAAAGAAACTCCGCTTTGGCTTCTCCTCCTCCACGGGGGCGGTGCGCTTCGACTTGGCCGGCACTGGCTCCTTCAAGGCAGGCGGCTTCAGCGACTCCACCTCCTCCACAGTGTCCTTTCCCCGCGCAACGCCCCGCAGGGGACCAGTATGAGCGGAGAGAGATACGTCCACTAAGTACTCCAACGTGGTGTTGTTCTCCTGTGGGATCAGTACAATGTTCCACGCCCACTCGACAACTTCCTCCGGTGCGCGCCCTCGCACGTGTCCCTCCACCACATTACACTCCACACCGGCAAGGTACAGGCACTTCTGATATAGCCGCGCTATCGTCTGTGGATCCGCAGTGCGCTGTCGTACCGCCAACACAATTGTATCAATAACCTCAGCAGGGGCCGTATTTTGGTTCGCCTCCGCAGCCTGCTTCCGCTTTGTGGCACGCGCCGCTGCACCACCCTTCTGTATATCATCCTTTTTTGCAGCAGCTGCAACTGCCTCCTCTTGAAGAGGAAGTGAGGGGACTACCACCGTTATGTTTTCGCAGAGCCAGCAGTACAACGCACGAGCTTTTTTCATCGCACATTGTGTCACAGACTGCCGCCACGACGGTCGCTGGTATGGCTCAACAACAGACGCGACAATCTCCTCCAGATTCGTCGCGCACTCCAAGGATCCCACCGCCCGTGCCTGCGCATCTGCCTCCTCACGCTCCGCCTTAGTGATACCCCATCCGGCCCTGCCAACAGCCTCATCGCCCAAAGTGGTGACGTCGTGTGACGAAAATGCCAGGCCACCATGGGTGTGCTGCGCTGTCGCACAAGCCGGAGGCGTCGGCTCTGAGGAAAAGGATATTCGTCGCAGCCCAGTCTCTGTCTCTACAGAGAAGCCGAAGTGGTGCAAGTAGTCGCCGTAGTACCGCAGCTGGAGATCAAAGATGGACGGACGGACGGTCTTGTCAAAAGTCTCGTAGAGCAGCCGTCCAAAGCTCTCCAGCTTTGCATCCTCACTCTCCACCTGCGACACAGGCGTGGCCCTCGACCTCTGCCTCATCTATCACTGTGGCTGCACAGGTAGGGAGAGGTAAAAAGAGAATGGAGAGGAAGGGAGAGAAGTATGAGGAAAACCAAAAGCTTCAGGAATATATTTTTTTGGCCCGACAAAGGCAAGAAAAAAGCACCACGCGCGCGCCAAAGGCGCTAAACAAAGTGGACGAAAGAATGTAAGTGGATGAATGGAAGGCTGAGGGAAGTGGAATTAGATGTGAAAGCCCTGCCACACACCGCGTCACAAGAGAGCAGAACTATCATCTCATATTTTATTCCCTTTATGGGTTTGGGTGTGTATACAACCACAAAATTTGCATACACATCACACCGGGCCAACGCATGTGATCCAAGAAACCATGCCGAGCCATGTGGCACATCGATTGCCCCGTCCCGCCGTAACCAATCTCCCGCACTAAATGGGCATCATAAGTATCAAAGATAACAGCAATGCGCGGTACCCGTGCCTTTCTTCCTTTAAATGAAAGTTATAGCATGACGGGAGTCTCCTTTTTTCATCGTCACCACCACACCCAGCACACACGCCACCAATCGCAATCCTTTTTTTTTTGCGTTTTGAAGCCAAGATCAAGGCGGCCAGTGGAAAGGCAGAGGGTGGTGGTGGGAATGGGAGAGAAAAAAAAACACAGGATAAATTATTGGGAGAGATGAGATGCACCTATCATTCTATACGTTCTATTCACGCACGCCCTTGCTGCAAGAACTTCTCTGGTGATTCTTTCCCTGCACATTCCTATTGGTTGTAATTTAACCAATACTCTCTTGTACTCCAGACCTGTCCACATTGTACGTAAAACTGCAACAAGGTCCCTCTAATTCCTTTTCTTCATTGGTTTTTTGAGGATGTGGGGAGAGTTGTGTTTTTTTCCTTCGTTTTGTTCTTGTCGCGGCTACTCTTTTCACTCCGTCTCTGACACTGCCGCAGCAGTGACAGAGGTAAGTGTGGGCGACGTCCGTGTACTGACGCAGTAGTACGCGTACATTGCAACCTCAAACGCGTATATTTGTGTCGCTTTACTGATGACGCTGCGCAGCAGTTGCGGGGATAGGCCCTTGTAGAAGCCGGTAATGCCATCATCGCGGTAAACGTGCCTTACGGTCTGGATAAACTGTGTGTGCTCGTGCTTTCCTGTCACGTGGTTGACAGTGCGCAAGTGTGTCATGACGACGTTGTACGGGTACGCCAATGTGGCTGCCGCGAGTTTTGAAAACATTGTGAGCGACAACATCGCCGCCGAGGCCATGAAGAAGCTCCCCTTGTCATGAAATGAGCCCTCGTTGGTCAGGCGCTTCAGAAGCTCGTAGATGCTCCAGAAGAGAGCTTCCTCAACGAAGCGCCCGCCAATGTTTGTCAGTGTGCCGCGGTAGAATCCGCCCACACCATCGCGGTGCAGGACGTCCCTGAAAACCTGACGTATCGTCAGTCTATCGTCCACCTGTACACGCGTGCGCACCAGAAAAAGAGGGGCAAGTGTCAGGTTCGTTGCGCACACAGCACCGAGTGCGCTCACAACAGGCCTGACGCGTTCGTCGAAGCCAAGAACTTCGAGCTCCTGCTGCAGGAAACGGTATGATGGCAGATAAATGCCGTTAGAGGGAAGGGACGCCATCATGTTCGCGCCCAAACCGCGAGAGAAGGCGTGCACGACACCCTCACCAAAAAGATCCTTCACGGTGTAGACAAGGCTTCTGTGCGACCTTCCGGTGGCACTGCGGCTCGCGGCGAGACGGACGCGGATGGTGTCCAGTGGGTTTGTGACACACGTGGAACACAAGCCAGCGAAGCAGCCAGCGAAGACGGAGACCGCGTACTCCCGGTCCTTGCGCCCCGTAGAGGCCCCAACGGTGGCAGACATGACTATTCACAACACGGCGCAACGCAGATCACAACAACATTGGAAAGAGAGAGTGCGTGCAGGCGAGTCCGTGTGTCACTGACGGAACAAAAAGAGTAGCGCAGGAGCATGCGCATGCCTATTCACGCAGAGATATATGCACGTCGCGTGTGTTCACACGAGTGAAGGTGGCAAAAAAAAACAAAAAAGCTTGCCCCTCCAACTGGTTCTTAACCGCTTACTTATTTCTGTATTTTCTCTGTTTTCCCCTTTCTGTCGCCTCCAACGGGCATCTGTATCCGTTTCTCTCTCTCTCTCTCTCTCGCTCTCTCTCTCTCTCTTTCTCAGTATCAATGCTTCGCGACGCGTTTTCTGTGTCGCGACTTCTTCTTGCTCTTAGCTCCATCACGATGTTTGTAGGCAGGCTTACCGTTCTTCTCTCGGCTCTCTGCACGCCGAGCCTTGCGTGCGTCGCGTATCTTCTTTTTCTTCAGCTTCTTGATGACGCCGGCCTGGAGCTTCTGCTCTGACTTGCGGCGTAGCTCGCGTGTGGTGCTCTTCACCCTCTCCTTTGCCCGCTCTTTTGCTTCGCGTTGCTGCCGCCGCGTCTGCTTCTGCTTTTGCAGGAATGCGTTCTCATCGCGACTCCAGTTGGCGAGCTCGTTCTGGAAGTGGTTGACGGTGACCTCCGCCTCCTTCTCGTACACACGCCGCGCCTCCTCGTCGCGCCGCTTCCGCTCCGCGCGGCTGAGGCACCACGACTTCTTTGGCTGCGCCGCAACGCTGTCGGTGAGCAGCTTCTCCGCCGCGCCGCTGAAGCGCCGCTCCGCCTGCGTGATTTTCGCCTGTAGCGTCTCCGCCGCCAGCTGCGACCGCACTCGCGCGAACACCGCGTCAATCTTCGCCGCCGCGTCGGTGAGCAACGTGTCCGGCACGTCGCGCCGCTTCACAGAGGACACCTGGTGGCTGTTCACCACGCCGCTCACAGCGAGGATCTTCCGCATGATATCGGCATCGGACGCTTCGTCAACAAGCGACACCGCCGTACCGCTGCCGCCGATGCGGGCGGTACGGCCGACGCGGTGGATGTACGCCGTGAGTGTTGGCGGCAGATCAAAGTTGACAACTGTCGATACGCCTTGAATGTCAAGGCCGCGTGACGCAACGTCGGTGGAGAAGAGATACTTTACCTCCCCGGATGCAAACTTCTGCAAAGAGGCAAAGCGCTCCTCCTGCTGTTGGTTACCCTGCAGCTCCGCGCTCGCGAGGCCCAACGCAGTGAAGAGGAGATGCAACCGGTGCGTCGTGGTGCGGTAGCGCGTGAATATCATCGTCTTGTCGTGGAAATAGCCAAGGCAGAGGGCCACCAAGTAGCGTGACTTGATCTTCGTGATATGCTCCGCACCGTCTTCAGTACTGGGCTGTGCCGCGACCTCTGCTCTCGCGGCATCACGGAGACGCTTGGAGCGAATGCGCCTCTTCTCCCCTCCTGCAGCCTCATCGCCCCTGGAGCTCTCCGCCGGGGGCGCTGCTGTCGTCCCTATTGCCGTCCTCTTGTCGCTGGTGAGGCAGATGCGGACAAACTGCTGCCGCAGCCTTGACTGGAGCGCGACATGTCCAACGTCCACATTCTTGGGCTCGAACAGATGCTCCTTAGCGAACTCGTCAACATCACTCGTCATGGTCGCGGAGAACATCAACACCTGTCGTGTCTCCTCTGGGACGCGCTTGAGAATATCAACAACTTGGTCTTTCAGCGTCACCGTGAGCAGCTTGTCACATTCATCGAGCACGACAATCTCCACACCAGAGACATCAAAGGAGCCGTGAGAACCCTTGTAGTTGTGCAGCAGGTCAACCAACCGCCCAGGGGTGGCGATAAGAACATCTGGGAGCGCTTCGAGTGCCGCCTCCTGGGCACTCTGAGCCACGCCACCAATTGCGAGGGCCACATTGAGGCCCGTAGTAAAAGTGAGCAGCTGCTGCAGCATGTGCTGGCACTGCATGCCCAATTCCCGAGTGGGAACTAAGATGATGGCGCGAATGAAACGACGCTTACCACCCATGTGTGTCTGCTTAAATGGTGCACGCGTCAGGAGGAGGTGGAGCAACGGCAGCAGAAACGCACCCGTTTTCCCCGACCCTGTCACAGCACGCGCACACACGTCGCTGCCGCTCAGAATAGCTGGGATGGCTTGAGCCTGCACCGGTGTTGGTGAGAGAAACCCCACATGGCTGACAGCCCGCACAAGGGCCTTGCAGAGGCCCAGTTCAATCCACATCACCCGGTCTTGCGTCTGCTTCCCTGACTCCTTGTTGGTGCCGCTGACACGAATCGTTTCGCCTGGCATTGCCTCCGCCCCACCTTCCTCCTTGTGCGGGGCCGCCACCATACGGGCGCCTTTCATTCCCGTCAGTCCGGAGAAGAAGGCTGGGGTGTCCTCCAGCATGTTGTCACCGCTCACAGGCGCCGCAACAGCAACTTCGGTGCCCATGTGGTGTCTCTTGTCGCCGCTGCTGTTCTTCTTGGCGGTGCCACGTGCAAACCCCTCCCTGCCATACACAGATCTCCTTGGAGGACGGGACTGTGTTGTGGGCATTAAAGACGCACACTATGATCCGCTTCCCCCTCAGTTCCTCTCTTGTTGTTGTTTGCTGTGAAACACTCAGCCAGCGGTGGTCAGCGCCCCCTCAGGACAGCCTGTCGTTACTGCCAGCCAGCACGCCACCCGACACCGTAACGAAACGAAAAAAAAGAGGTAAGGACCAAAATAACAAAGAAACGAGGAGGTGCATAATCGTGCAAGTGGAGGGTGACATTTGCATGTGGCAACAAGGCCCAAACTCCCAGAGTGATCCCACATACACTGCTCAAGCAGTGAGTCATAGAGAGATAGATAGAGATACCGCGGAGGGAACGAAGATAGAAAGGGTAAAATGAAAAAAAAAGAAAGACATGATGAATCGTGGTGCCACTGGAGCGGTGACCGCATTATCAGGGCGGCAACGGGCTTCCCTTGGTCACAAGTAGAAGAATGAACAGAAGGCATACGAATTTTCGTGTCTAAAAAAAACATCCTTTTCTTTCCATTCCCCTGTCCTTCTGTCGATTTAAAGAGTCTCATGTGTGGACCCGCTTCCTTCGATCTTCTGTCTTCCCTGAGTGATAGGTCGCAGTTACAGTTTTTGGTGTTCCTGCTTCTGCTACTTCTCTATGCGTGCGTGTGGGTACATATATATATATATATATATATATATATAAGTGCTGTACAGGAGACACACGCAGAAGCATAAATGCCGTTCACTCGCCTGCACTGCTTCACACGTTGTGTCACTCTTCAGCACACACATACACATTCACGAGTCCGCCGTCGCTTCTCTCGGGGGCAGGAGGAACGCGTGGGAGGAGTGCGACGATAGGACTGCACCAGTGTGAACAAATGGGCCACCGTGGCATAGCACACCTACACAAAAAACACGCATAGAAAAATATCTACGTGCCCCAAAGCAGTAATGATGCGAGAGACACAATGAAAAGGTGCGCAGTAATTAAAAAAGAGAATGCTTTCATATTGAGGCGCCATGGCGACACAGACGGCGCGCTTCTCTCTGCAGCTGCCTTCTCTCTCGTCTGCACACCCACTTCAAGCCCCTTGCCCTCTCTCTCTCAGTCTCTCTTCATTGCTCACATTTGCACACACCTCCACTCTCACCCTCTCTTTCCACCCTGCTGTCGCACGCCAAAAATTTGGCCATGCGACAACGATGATGCCGTGATACCCCAGTTTTGTCGCTTGCTTTTTTTTAAGTCGGTGTCTTTTCTTTTCTCATTCTTTGTTTCCTCTGTACTTTGCCGTGACTGTTGTCGCACGCACATTAACAGGGAGCCGGAAGCAGTAAGGACTATTTTTGTTTCTTTTGCTTGATCTTTTTTTTTCCTGTTTTGTAAAAATTTTCTTTGCTTTCGTGTGCACTGCTCTATTCGTTATTGTTTTTTTTTCCTTCTCGCCTCTTCCCACTCCGGTTTACTGTGTGCGGCTGCTGCTTATCATGAGAGTGGGATGCCGTCCTGAATATTCTCTTATTTTTCACTTCCATGTTGACTTCAGCATCACACAGATATATATATATATGCCGTCGTTATGCTTGCTCGTGCACTGACGTCTCCCGCGAATCAGCGGCGGCCGGCACAGCGGCATTCATATACACAGATGCATACGCCAACAGAAAAACGACCCGAATAACACAACAAAAAAACACGCAGAGATATATAAAAAGAAATTGAACTGCATGAAAGCAGAGAACAATACTCCCTACCTCTCCATTTCTGCATCATAGAGTCTCATGTCCCGTGTTCCTTTCTCATGGCTCACCACGCCGTGTTTATGGATTTCAGCTCCGCGGCACTGCTGCCCTCTGTGTGTCACTCCGGTGCCTGGCGAGTATTGTTACCAATGTCGACAGCACATCCGCGAGGTGCAGAGGGAAAGATAAAGTAAAGTAAAAAAAAAAACCATCAAGGCACAGTCACGAGTACATGGGTCTCGAAACCAACCTGTTGTATTGATGGCGCAGAAGTATGGAGAAACACGACGGCGTCATTGTGGGACTGACCAGGAGACAATTAAAAAAGCACATACTATATTTTTTTTTGGTGCGACTTCATCATGTGTACAAGCACTTCCACAGTGCACTGCCCGCGGCGACGCGCCTCTTCCTCTCCTTTTCCTTAGTGATACTGGGTCGAGAGGCCGTATGGGTTGTGCCGGTACATCAGCGGGGCCTCTTTGGAGCATGTCGCGGAAAACCTGCTACAGCAACGCTCCCGACGCGTGTTCGGCGCCGCTGCCGCCGCGGTTGTTGGGGAATTCAGCGCGAGACTGTCAGAGACCGACAACTGCTCCTCCATTTCCACGTCCTCACTGCGTCCCTCCGCCCAGTAGGGGAGGGAAACAATAACGGGCTGCCGGCGTGCAGTGGGCGCGATGGGAAGCACGGACACGAGGGAGCTCTCGGTGGTCATTGCGTTACATGACGTGTGTGCCGGCATGGCAACGCCGTCAAGCCGCTGCAGCCCCGTAGCCTTCAACAGCTCGACGTTGCGTTCCTCTGTCTGCAGTTCATGCTCGCCGTGAGCAAAGGCGCAACGGCTTCCGAACGGGCACTCCTCCTGACGGCGGTAGAAGTCGCACAGAGTAGTTCTGAACTTGGACGGCTTCACCTCCGCGTGCTTGGTGGTCTTCCGCATTTCTACAGTAGTTGATATTGTTGTCTGCTTTGTGTATTGTCTCCGTAGAGTTTCGCGCGCTATTTTCCTGTATCCCGTGTAGCTCGCAGGTTCAAAAGTGACGGCGGCAACAACAGCAGCAGCCGTAGAGCCCGGAGGCACACACACACACACACAGACAGATGAAAACAAAAGAGAATAGAAGAAAAAATGAATGGAAAGAGGAAATGTGTCAAATGAAAACAAACCATCAGGCATATTGCATCCGATGGAGGTGTAACAGGTATCGGCTCACGTGGCACAACGGCCCCCAGGCCCCACAGCGTTCTTGGCGCATTACCGCGCTGATAACAAACAAACAAACAAACACACAGAAAGAAAGAAAGAGAGAGAGAGAAAGAGACATAAATAAATTGAGAAAAAGGGGGAGCAAGACAAACCCGCCACACTCATCACGCAGACGTTCATTGCGTTCCCCTGGCTTTTCGGCTCCTTTCAGGCACTTGCACACACACACACACACATATCCATAGAGGTGAATCTTCCTCACCGTTACGGCAGTGAGAAAGAAAAAGGAGCCCCCCACACACACAAACGTAAAGAAAGCGTAACAAAGTGCATGCTTGAGAAGATTCCGCGAGGAACCTGGGGTGGGTGGACTGGAGGGGAACACTCCCCATACTCCACCTCTTCTCCCACCAAACGAAAAACAAACGAAAAACAAAAGAAAAAGTAAAAAAAAGTCGTCAGAAAAAATGAAGAGATCCACGCCGTTCCCTGGCAAAGGGGAAGGGCCAGTCCCATGTGCAGCGGGTTTTGTCTTTCATCACTGACGCAAGGGAAATCACACGCGCTCAGTTTGAGTTGCAAAAAAGTTAAGAAAGAAAAAAGAATCAGCAGCAGAAAAAAAAAACATGTTGAGCACTATCTTTCTTTCACTGCTGCTCTCTCCTCAGTCTGATGTCCTCGGCAATGCAACGACGTGGGATTCCAGACGTATATGAAGCGGCCGCAAAAGGCCCGTGCTGCAATTCAGACGAAGAGGGGGTGGTGGAGAAATTGACACAACATTGCCAAAGCTCTCGCGCTGTTGCCACTGAAGCTGACTGATTCTGCTGCTACTGCCGTCATATGTGCAGTGGCCGAAGCTTGTGAAACAAGCATCCATATCGTTGATGTGAGCCTGGTCTTCGCTGTTTCTTGTGTGCGTAAAGAAGGCGATGAATGAGCAAAGAGTCGACGTGGAAATCGGTCCGTATAGCATCAAGAGTAGTAGGCAACAGTGAAGAAGCAATGCGGTGGCCCGACGACCACAAGCGCCGAGTCCCCACCTACGTATCCACAGAAAATAGCAAAAACAAGCAAAATCAGCTCACTAGCGAACAAATCTTTAGCCACATACACATAAGCACACAGACGTACACACAACGGGGCGACCTGAGTCGCCCAAACAACGGAGCACTAGTGGAGCACAATAAAAAAGGAAAATTGAACATGATAGCACCAATAGGAAAACAAAAATCCGAAAAAAACACAAACGAGATTCCTGAATTACTCCCTCGCCCGCCCACCCTATGCGTGTATATTTAAAAAGAGATGTACATCTGGTATAATATTCTTTAAATGGTGGGAAACGCAAGCGACACATCATCAGAGAGATCCAAACTGAAATGAATGGTTCTAGACCTCGCGCTCAACTGTTTCCCTCCCTCGTTCTCGGTTTAACTCTCTTGTTTCTTTTTTAAATCCTCTTTCTTGTCGTTTCTTGCAAGTTAGTGGAAAAGGAGAGCATTCAAAATAAAAAAAAAGAAAAAAAAAAAACAGCAGCATAACAGTTTTTTTTTTCTGCCGCTCCGTGAGAATCACGTATTTACTCCTTCTTCCTTGTTTTCATTTTCCATACTGCTCTGTGACTTCCACCACAGAGAGTCTGTGTTTGGGCCTTGTTTTTCCTTTTTTTTTGCTATTTTCGGGTAGAATCTCAAAACGTGCTGTCCGCCCGGTTCTGTGCCTCACTCCTTGTACTTTACCCACTCGCTTTTCTCGCTTCCGGTTTGCACTTTTCCTTTCCACCGCTCGCATCGCGACGGCGCCATGAAGAAGTTGAGACGCTCGCAAAGAAAGGAAAAAAGTGCATGTAAGAGAAAGAGCACGACCCCTCAAATTCTATTCTTGTTATTGTTACTGTTGGTATTGTCGCCTAGTAAACGTTAGGCAGAGGGACATGGGGATCGTCTTGTACACTCCTTATACCCCTAAATCAACGATGAAACACTTCATGCGCGTTTTTTTGTCCTTTTCCCTTTCCCCCACCACAACCTCATCAAGCAGTTTGAGCCATACATTTATGGCAAACAACGTCTCCCACGCCGACACACGAAAGTGAGCACGTGAGTGAAGAGGGAAGAATATAACAGAAAAAGCAGTAGTTGAAAACAAAGACGACTAGATGCAGTACTCCAAGACATCATCCCATGTTGTGGGATTCTTGGCACTATTACGTCGTGTTGGCACCCTCTCCCTCTGCTTCACGTTACTGTTGGCGACACGCTCCGCGGAAAGAAAAATTTTCCGCCCGGCTGAAGCGCACGACGAGAGAAAGTGATTCACAACAATTGGCTGACGTTTCCCAAGGTGGTGAAGCGTGCACTGTCTATAATTGGGAGTTGAGCCTTCGGGAGAGGATGTTTCACCCTCCCTATTACAGTTGTAGACATCACTTCCAACATCCCCCATTCCTGCAACATTGACTTTCGGTATCCCTTCTTTGTCGCCGCACATCCATAGCACTCTGTTCTCCGCGTCTGCAGCCGACGCATTACCAATATTGTCTCTTACCGCACTATCTTCCGTAAAGGAAGAAGAAAAGAGCACCTCTGTTGATGGATCTGGCGGGGCTGCTTGCATCTGTTGCAGGGTGTTGTCGCCACCTTGAGAACCATAAGCCATACAAGAGCATAACGAAACCTTATCTTTAATATCTTCGTATTTTTTCTCTTCTCCTGTGGAGTTCGCTTCAGATGTTTCTCTTTCATTTTGTAGCCACTTCGTAATGGCTTCACACCACTCGTTATCACTCTTTGATGCCGTGGTTTCGCCCTCGGGGTCTGACGTCAGGGTGCAACAAAAGTTCAGCTGTAAAGAGCCGTGACGCACATGATGGTGATGCCCAGGGACCTTGCCATTTTCGTGCTTAGGCGTTGTCGAAAGTAACCCATTTCCAATCATGTTTGACCACATGGAATCGCGATTCTGAGGTGTGGGTAGAATCGGACACTGAAGCGGAGAGGGGGGCACCGAAGAAGAGCGCAGCGAAGCAAACATAAAGTTACAGGCGTTATGATGCTGAATGTGGTCTTTGCCTTCAATGTCAAGGTCGGTAGCGCGGCACATAGCGAACGGGCCGCCTGGTACGCGGGAAAGAGAGCCCATTCCCCCCGTGTTTCCGACCGTGGCTGGCTTAAAGGAAGTCAATACGGAACCTGGAGCAGGTCGCATGCCACTGCCATCAAGACACATGACGTGAGAAGACATCGTATGTGGTTTAACTAAAGGAACCAACGGCTGCGCAGGACCTGTACACGGCAAAAGTACTGCAACCTGCGGAATAGTGGTAAACTGTACCAAGCCCTCCGCCACATTCATCGTACTCATAGAACCGTTGCTATCATCGTTGCCACCACAGGCTAATTGTGATACATGTTTTCGCCTACAGTTGTTTTTTCCCTCCCCAGAGATGGTCTTAGTACCAGCATTCTTTGCAGTGGAACGGCCTTGGTTTGTAGACTTCCCTTTTGAAGTTTTCGTCAAGGACTTCACACACTTTTCTCCTTCGACCTCAGCAGCAGAGACTGTTTGCTTTAGTACGATGTCGATCCTGGGGGTGGGGGAAGCTGTCATTGCTGCCACCGTGAGTTTTGATTCAATGGGGCATGACGTGCAATCACTGCAAGCACCCGTAAGCATCATCGTCGGCGAGAAGCGTGCCTCCCTGCCGATGACGTCATCGCCACAACAGAGAGGGGTGTCAGTTTCTTTTCGGACAGTATCAACCCCATCACATACAGCTCTTGTATCAAGTCCTGTTTTTTCCCATTTCTCTTTTGACTTCACACTTTCTGCCTCGCAGCGCAATTCTTCTAATCCGTGCGCAAAAGCACAACGATCTCCAAAAGGACACCCACTGGGGCTGACGTAGAATGAGCAGATGGAAGTCTTGTACTTGGACAATTTAACAATATCATGCCTTCGACTCTTCGCCATTTACCACTTTTTCCTCCCTCCCATGTGTAGACTTTTTATCCACAGTAACAGAATCCTGTTGTTTCTCGTCTTAATCCCACCGCGCTTTAGAAGGAAAAACCTGCAGGAAACGTATGTTCTTGTATCACCTTTAATGGGCCTGCACACCAAAAATCCTTTTCGCTTTCTTCATCATGCAATAACAAAAGCGTAGGAGAAAGAAGAAGGAACACTGCCAACAAACCAAAAAAAACTTCAAAACCACACAACATGTGAGAAATGCGAAGTTGAGACGTATACCACTTGAACTTGGCTTTTTTTTTTCACTAGCATCTTTTTTCTCGCATTATCAGTCAAGCACCAATGCCCGACTCATCCTTTTTTTTTTTTTTTTGATACAAGCTTATTCAAAAAGCATGTGTGTGCACAACGGTTCAAGGTGACGTAATCCATATATAGAAAGCGGTACCGCTCATTCCTC